ATTAGTTGGTCCAAATCACCTGGCTCTTATAATGCGAGAAATCTAATAAAAAATCGGGAGGTGATGAGTGAGATACTAATATCGTGTGTCACATAATGGGAATGTTTTAAAATTATAATTAAGAAAATATTTCTTTTACTACGTGATAAGAGAGATACTAATATAGGGACCGGTCTACACACAAGAAATCCCCGACCTATGGCTATGGCAGGCAATCTTTCTTTATAGAATCTAGCTAGTCTCAAATCCTTAGAATCTATAACTTTGTTCCATGGCGTTTTGAATTTATCCTCCACCAATTTCACTAGCTAGTATATTTTTAGATTTCATAACAATCACAAAATATTTTGGTTTCTCACTCTTTTGTGGAATCAAAAACACAAAAACATCATCGGTTGTGTGTTTGTTATATGAATCCGGAAATTGCGATAAGAACTAGGACAATTTACGACATCAGAATCGGAAACTTGAAAGGCATCCAGACAAAGCATTGGAATATTTCATATCATCCTCTATGGTTGTCTGTTTTTTTTTGTTTTTTGTTTTTTTTGTTGTTGTCAAAATCCTCTATGGTTGTCATTTCGTGTCTAAGTTGAAAAAACAAAAAACCCAACCAGCAAAGCTATTGCCTATTCTGCAGAATAAAACGTGTAAAAGGGAGAAAAAAAAAAAAAGTTTTTTGCTTGCATATGCTTTAAGCGTTGGCGCCCACCCATTAGTCCTACTCATAAGAGCACTTCCAGTGTTGGAAGGCTCCCAGAGCAACTGCCTATTGAGTCCCCTTCAATGAATAGTAACTATCTTTAATAAACAGTAATTGCCTTTTGCATCTTCACCATTAAACTAAATAGTCATGACAATAGGCAATAAAATATTAATATTTTTTATTTTATAAAATTATAAAAAATAATTTTATTTATAATTTCTGATAGGATTTTTAATCCGTCTCGTGATTTTGCTAAATTTACATAAACACACCAAATAAAAAAAAAACACACTAAATGAACTTAATTTTCTTGAGCTTGTTTCAATTTCCACTAGTGCTCTATCAAGGATTAGGTTGGAAACAAAAGTATGTAGAAACTTTGAGATAAAGATTGGAATGTGTTTGAAGGAGTTTGAGAAAATATGAAATTGTGGTGTAAGGTGGAAGATAATGATAAGGTATTTATAGAAAAAAAAATCTTTTTTTTTTTTAAAATTTAAACATTTTTTGGAATTTTTATTAATTTTTGACATTTTTTATTAAATTTTTATTAACGTAATTAATTTTTGCCGGTGAACATGCAAGACTCATTAAGTTTCGTGCCTCCCTTCTCCCACAAGCCCGCCCCTAGCCCAATTGCCCGCATGGGCTGGAGCAAGGAAGGCTGGTGATTTGGGTTGCTGAGCAGCCGGTCCCCATGGCTTTTAACAACGTTGGACTTGCTCTAAGTAAACTTATAAGCACATGCAATATCCCTCCTACCTCCTATCCCCGAAGTGGGATCCTCCTACTTCTTTTTCCGGATATGAAATTGATACTCTCAATATGCTCACAAAATCTAGTTCAACTACTTATAAGAACATGCAAGATCCCTTCTACCTCATTTCCCGATTTGGGATTGATATATACTCTCAATACGCTTGCAAAACCCCTCCTCCCTCCTTTTTCCGATATTGGACAACCTGCTCTGATACCATGAATAGGGTTCAAGTTCTACCATAAAATAAATTGGCAATATGGTGAATAGCCAAACTACTTGTAAGTACATGCATGATCCTTCATTTCTCCAATGTGGTATTGATACTCTCAACAAATTTCAGTTTCTGTGAAGCCTTTAACATATGTTATTTAAAATATTTCAAAATGAAAAATATATAATGTGGTTGCAGGAAAAGCTACTATGATCGCGAATCTCCGAAAGGCTTTAGGGACTGTTGGTATCACGTTCGTGCTCCAAAGGTGTTGCCATTTTAAGAACAGCTGCTGTCTGTAAAATCCAATAGGGTTGGTATTAATGTAGTGGTAGACCCTATCATCTCTGATTCATCTTTCCACAAGTGCTTTTGTAGAAGTAGCTTTTCTACTTTCATTCATGGTGATGATTGATGAGATGATGCACGCAATGCAACTAGAAGATCAAGATGAAACCATATGGCTTAGTTTTCGATCTCATAATAAAATTGTGTTCATAAATTGAAACTGAAATCTAAGGATTTCATTCTATATATATACTTCACTGACATGTGCAAAACGCTAAATAGTTCGCAATTTAATATGATGCTAACCACTTGTCTCGGCCTGCTCCAAAATATTTTTCATAATCTAAACCAATATTTTTTTAGGTTAATATTGCAAGATCATTTTTTATCAAGTCATAATTACATAACTAAACGAGTTATGATTTGAAAGATACAGAATGAAATATTACATATACTAAAACTCAGTTTTTCCCGACACTGTTCATTAACTATGAAATGGCGAAAGTGTTCTTTGTGTCTTCTTGCTTTGCCGTTCTTTTGCCTTCTTGGTGCAGTGAAATTAATGATTGATTTGCCCATGCTGGATACATGTTCATCATCATCCTTCATCTTTAGCTTTTGGTTGGGTTTTCTTCCCTTTACCTTTCTATTTGCCTTTTCTCTCTGGCCGTTTTCTGATGTTAACTATAGTTTTGGCTAAACGATTTTTACTTCGGAGCAGTGGCGGAGTCAGGACTTTCAAATAATGAAATCATAATTTTGACCAAAAAATACTTCATTGGACCATTTCTCAAGCACTTGATAGGTAGTTGCCAATTCCTCCCGACATTTGCCAAAAGTTTACACCAATGTATGTCGACAAATACTATGAATATAGAGGCTTTTCAAGGGCAGCTGTAGGAAACTGTCGAGTAACTTTGAAGATCGCCATAGCTTGTCAAATGAAGCATTTCATTGAGCACTTGGTTCGCACAAAAGAGTTCCACACAAAAAGAGAGAAAGGAAGACGTGGATGATAAACGAAAACAAAATGAAAATAAGTCGGAAGTTATGATTTAGTTTGTCATGACAGTTTATAAGGATCAAATACAACTACACAGTCAATATACATAGCAATTGTTAAGTTGTTTGGATCATGGGCAACCAATAATCCCATATTAGCTCCACTACTACTTTGGAGCTCTCTATTTTTAAGATTCTTTTATTTGTAGCCACTAATTTGTGAACTTGAGAAACTGTGTGAATATTTATGTTATATTTATCGATCACATTGCTGAGCACCCCTTCAATAATAGTGGGATCAAGAGTAATAAATTATTAAACGGTAAAATGGTAATGTTTCATCCATGGCGACGTCTAGCAGTTGTTCAATATAAATGACTGACAATTTCGTTGACTGTCTAATTATAGTAAAATGCTATTCAACCCCACATTTTTCTTAACATTTGTGACATGTCTTATTTGGCTTTCGGTGGGAAACTCTTTTCTTTCAGAATATAAAATCGTTGATACGATGATATCTTTTTTTTTTATTTTTATTTTTATTTTTTTATAACAAACAATATTATCTACATTAACTAACATGGAGGGGGTTGGGCTTAGCCTCACAATAACCTAGCAATAATGTGGTTCAAATTCGCCTTTGATGAAAATCGAGCCTAAAACCTTTTACTTACAAGTGAAGAGAAATACCACTAAATCATTGTACTAAGTGGCTTTTCTTTTTAATATGCTAAAAAAAGGAAAGGGATTATCTCCAGATCCTTTCCTCCTAATCCACCAAGTTTGGGGATCCAGGTTATTGAAATTTGATTCAACGACTAAAGTTATTATAATTTTTAAAGTGGTCCTCTGTTTGTAGCCGCTTGATTAAATTTTGGAACCGACATTTTTCTGCCAGATATCTCACATATATCTCATGCATCTTTACTACAACTTTTGTTTTAAGATGCATGCATGATATACATGTTAATGCTATTTTGTCATACTAAGTTTGAATTTACATACGGTTTCACTTATCATGAATAAACATTCTAATTTACGCTGTAATACTTATTTTGAAAATTTAGTAAATCTCACATCCCGACCCGGAGCAGATTACTTTCCGAGCCCGCTCTACCACCGTAGCACGATATTGTCCGTTTTGGGTCCCAACCACGTCATCAAGGTTTTGTTTTTGAGAACTCACACGAGAACTTCCTGATGGATCACTCATCTTGGGAATGCTCTCGCGTGATAGTTCGAATCCTTGAACTTGATGAATTAGGAGGAAGGGATCCGGATATGATCCATTTCCCTTTTTTAGCATATTAAAAAGAAAAGCCACTTAGTACAAAATACCACTAAACCGTTGTACTAAGTGGCTTTTCTTTTTAATATGCTAAAAAAAGGAAAGGGATCATCTCCAGGTCATTTCCTCCTAATTCACAAAGTTTGGAGATCCAGGTTATTGAAATTTGATTCAACGGCCAAGGTTATTATAACTTTTAAAGTGGATCTCTGTTTGTAGCTGTTTAATCAAATTTCAATGATCCGAATCCCCGAACTTGGTAAATTAAGAGGAAGAGATCTGGAGATAATCTCTTTCCTTTTTTTAGCATATTAAAAAGAAAAGCCACTTAGTACAAAATACTACTAAATCGTTATATTAAGTGGCTTTTCTTTCTAATATGCTAAAAAAAGGAAAATGATCATCTCCAGATCATTTCCTTCTAATCTATTAAGTTCGGGGATCTAGATTATTGAAATTTAATCTAACCGCTAAAATTATTATAATTTTTAAAGTGGATTTCTGTTTGTAACCATTTAATCAAATTTTAATGGTCCGAATCCTCAAACTTAGTGAATTAGGAGAAAAAGATTCAGAGAATCCATTTCCATAAAAAAAAAATATAAGTTCAAATTCTACATCCCGTCACTAAAAACTAACTTTCTATAGGAAAGACTAGAGAGGAACAGTGAAGTCATTTAAAATTGTTAACCCAAAATAGGCCTACCAACTAAGTAACCCAACAAAAAACCCGACCCGGTTTCGATCAAATTCAGTTGAGCCGAAGAAATCAATCTGCCCTAATTTTGCGTTTACCCCCTTATCACAATCAGGTAATAAATCTCTCCTGTATCGAAATTTCTTAAATTTGGAAAATAACAGACGAATTTGTTTTACTTCTGACTCGGTTTGAATTTAGGGTTCGTTTTGTTTAGTGTTTTCTTGTTCGAATTGGATTCCTGTTGCTTGATTGGGTAGGTCTGAATTGTATAGAAGTCAGAAAAAGGAGTGATTTTTATGTGTGAATTGCAGAGGACTATTGATATTGTAGGAGGAACTGCAATGGTAGAGGGCAAATATAAACCTAGGAAGGAGTGAGAATCGAAGAGGATAAGTGGTTTTCAAGATAGAGAGGGCGAAAAGGAGAGGAAATGGGAGGAGGAGGCGTTATAGTGGGGAAGATAGAAATACGAGAGATTGTGATAGTTGTTCCGTGAGAGACAAGTTTTGTGATTGTTCTGAGGACGAGAGGTACAATGTAGAGAAGCGGCATTGAGGAGATAGGGAGAGAGATAGTCATAGAAGGACTAGAGATAAGGAGAGTGATAGGAAACGGTGTAAGAAAGATCACAAGGATAACGTAAAGAGAAAGTGAGAAAGGAGTAGCAGCAGGTCAGATAGACATAGGGATGATGGAGTTGAGAGGCTGATCACGAAGAGTGATGAAGATTATTCAGTTAAGAAAGAGAGGAAACGAACATGCGAGGTTGTGGAGGAGGAGTTAAGAGGATCAACAGAGGAATTGGATGAGGAAATGGAAAAGCGGAGGACAAGACCACTAGTCATGCATTATCACTTCCTGGTGGCGCTCAACAACACAGATATTAAGTTATATAAGTGAGAACTCAATTCCAACCAACTTTAGGTATCTGCTTATGCTGGACTGAATCTGACTCTCAGTTCCTATTTTATTTTTCTCGGTCTCCTGATGAGTTTCCGTAATGAATTATTCCAGTTACTGGATTTTTTTGTGTTTGCCCATGCCGTATCTATCATGTTGATCTTTAATGGTCAACTTGTATGAGAGCCTTCTTTGTTGAACTCGACATGAAATTTCAGTAATCTTATCATTGTTTTCAATTGTTTAAATAGTATGAATTTATTTTGTCTTGCTTTATACAATTTTCAGTCCTGCTTTTGATGCTTTTCTCTATTTTTTTCTGTCATTTCCCCTGGTGCAAGGGACATTAGGTACATAGGCTCGCTTATTCAACGTTGTCTACGCCTTTACGAAGCTGTGCAATTCTTCATTTTAAAGGGATGTATGTGTTTTCGAATCTCCTGTCTTTTTTTGTTCCATCAGTTTTGGGACCTATGAGTTCATTCATTTGCTTTCTGGTGAAGATTTTCATTTTTGGTTTGTTTTTACTTTCCCTTGACTTTGATTAGCAGGTTTAAGCTGCCGCCTTTCTTGTGGAGACGATCTTATAATGTAGACAGTTGGTGACCAATGCATTAATGCTATACTGATCTCGTGCCCAAGGTCAGAAAAACCCCGCTTCATTAAGTATGCTATCGGTAGATTGTTACCATCAAGAGAAATTAAAAAGCATAACATTGCTGGAGAGCAAGTTCGAATATAAACTGTAGTGGATTCTCTGTTTACAATTTGATTCTCACTTCCATGGTGTTCCATCCCTTACATCAATGTTTTCGATGCAGCTTGGCAGCAGAATATATCACGGGACTGAAACTTTTGCGTTTCAACCGTCAAGAATCTTTTTGGGAAGCTGTTAACTGGCTTTATAGGGACTGTTTTTAGATATCTTCACGAATTTTTGCAAAAACCCAAAAACAATTCGAAGTGTAAAAATGTAATGTGAAGTTTGTAATTACGAATGATTAAGAAATTGTGTTCTTGTTCATACCGGTGGAGATTCCAAAATTCCCACTGTGTATGAAAAAAAAACCTAATTGGTACGGGGACGGGAGAAGATTAATTTTCTTTTACAACTTTTAGCGGCGGAATCAATTATCGTCGCTATAGAATACTTTTAGCCGCAACAACAGAGGTCGTCGCTAAAGAGACCTTTTGTAGCGGCTAGCAACGAAATAAATCGCCTCTAAAAGGATTTTTAGTTACTGAAGGCCATAAAATCGTCAATATTCGTTGCAAAAGATAGAACCAGTCATCTTAGACAAGAATGGCGACTTTTTGCTAATTTAGGTGCTTCTCCTTCTGCTTTTCGGCAAAAATTTAAGTGCTTTTCCTTTTGCTACAACACATTTATTAAAAGCAAGAAAAAATGATTCGTTTGTCAATTTTCCCATGTAATCTACAACCAAATAGTGTTCTTTCATGTTAAGAAATAAACTTGTAAAAGTTATCTACTTCCCCAGTGAACGTAATTGCTAGTAATTTCTAGACGAATTGAAGGGCAAGTGACTGCTGTATAATTAACAAGCCACAACGAAAGCAAAATTTAAAAAGTTTTGGGGTTTTCATTTTAGAGAACCATGAATATCGAGACTATAAATAATGTAATCTGTGACGAAATATCAACAAAAAAGAAAAAACAAAAACAGTAAATGAGATCAGACCAATCCAACCCAAATCCAATGGATTGAGGATTAATTGATCAGTTGAAATTCGGTCGACAACAGCGAGAGTTTGGTAATCTTTGTCCGAGAGGGCAGCCTCCCTGAGATGGCGTGGGACAATTTCCCCACCATTGTCCAAGAAGACCTTGACCAAATTATACTCATAAACTCCTGGATGTTGTTTAGGAGGCATCGATGGATCTTCCAAGTCCCCAAAAATCCAAAACAGACTGTGTGGCACCGTATCATCTCCGTACCCTTTGTCCTTAAACTTTCTCCGTATTGTCGTACTGGCTCTCGTCTATGCGGCTAAATCTTAGGGACTCGCTGAATACAAACACCGTCTTGATCATCTGCTCTGGCTTCACACTCCCCTTTGCAATGGCAGCCACTTCCGGAATATCAAACAACTTCTCGTAATCAACAAACAAGTCGGACTCCATTGTTGTCATAAACTCGCACTTGTACTTGAGATCTTTGCCTTGTATCGGACATAGCAGCGGCTGATCTTTGGCCGAATTACCAAAAACGATCACCTTGCCTTTCCATGGCCCTTCGCTCAATTGAGACAGCAAAAGTGCCAATCCCAGCATCATCCTTCCTCCAACTCCCCTGTCCGCGTATTTGGTGGTGTGATACACAGTGAAGTAGTTTCTGAATTTTCCCTTCAGGTGCATGCCCTCCACCATTGTCTTCCACTGAAGCTCAGCCGCTTGCTTGACATCACTGCCATCTTCGGCGTAGAGTATGACTTGATGTGGAAGGAGAGTATCGTACTTTATGCCACTTAAATTTCCTGCTGCAATTGCCCCCAAATACTTCTTATCATCAGGGCGCTAGTGTCCGACAATGTCTCGAAGATTGTAGTAATTGGTCAAGGGCTCCAAAACCTCCTTCGCCAGCCGCTTCCACTCTTGTGAATGAACTGATGATTGATGCGGGAAAAGCCTCCTCTCAACGCTTTCACGCAGCAAACCAGCGCAGGTATCTTTGGATACCGAGGGGTATGCGCTAACTCACCACGCTGAGCCTCGGTAACGAAAACATCATCATCACTATCATTGCCAACATCATCATTCAACTTAAGTTTCAGCTTGTTCTGCTTCAACTTTCCAATATCAGATTTCAACCTCTTCACGAAAAGATCCATCACCCGGTCTTGCAACAACCTGTAATCCGGATTGCTGCGCAGCCTCTCAGCGGCGTCTTGGCCTTGCAGAAGGCTGTAGAGAATGTCAATAAGGACATACGAGTCTTCAAACGAAACGTTACGTAGTAGAGTCTGTGGGTGGTTGGGGTGGAGCCAAAACACGGCGGAGAAGAACGCTTCATCATAAAGTTTTCCAGAGTCAAGGTTGCTGATGAGCTTGAGTCGAGTGTGATTAAGGGATTGTGAGACCAGGCTAAGGGCAGCAGTTGCTTCAGATTGTTAAGCAAACCGGAATTATGTGAGGCCTGCTCGGTGTTATCTTTGAAGTATTTTTGTGTCACATGGAAAAACAGATCAAGGCAGGGATCGCCGTAGGAGGAGTAGAAGGAGGAGATCTTGCCAGCCATGGCGTCGTTGGAAATTATGTAATTTGATGACTGGCTTTGTTTCAATGAGTTTCTTGTAGGAGAGGACTAATAAGGAGGATTTGTATATATAGGAGAAGAAAGTGTGAAGGGCCCCTTTCCAATTATTCAACTTGGCATGTCAGATTATCTGCCTATACAAGGTAGTTTATGACGGACAGAGATCCTCCTCGGATCTATCCTACGTTCAAGGATCAAGCAATTCGGACCACTCTAATTGGATTCGACAATTTTATTAACTCATTCCATGGACTCACTTTACACAGATTAAGGGCTCCGATTTCTCTTTCACACAAACCAAATACTCGAATTTCCTGATCCTTAGACTCTAAGTACGAAGGTCCAAAGAGGATCCAAATTTGTTTATAACTTCGCATGCCACATCCTTATATATAATCTTAACATATATTTTCCTTCTATTAGGGTAAACAAACAAAGCACAAATCAATTCAAAGTAAATAACGTCACTTACCAAGTTTGAACGAAGCATTTAAAATAATAAACAAGAAATAAGAAAAAGAAAAGTTAACATTTGAGTCATTTGGCTATCTACAATAACAAAAATTTAATTAATATTGTTAAAAATGCTCTCACTAAACCGTAGTATTGATTGAATATAGTTTGGAAGTTGGTGAAAAGGCAGACTGCACCACTTTAACCCATGATTGAGTAGCATTGATCATATTATCTGAAGGTGAAAACTGCCGGTGATAAATCTAAATTATATATGGGGTAATTGATTGAGTAGCAAATTCTGTTACTAGGCAATTCAGCGTGCTCTGTTTCTGTTCAAGACATTATCTTCCATATTACTTACGCAAGTAAACAAGTCATTCATCAAACATTACTTATTAGGTAGATTCCTGACAAACGATAGGATAATTTACACTAAAATATTTTAAATTATAGGACAATTCGAACTTGAATGCAAAGAAAGGGAGTACATTGCTTTAGCTAACTCGACTCACTCCAGGTATGCTATTTATTTGGTCAATGCATTGCATTTTTCAGGTAGGGGAAGATAATTTCTTTTTTTTTTTCCATTTTTTTTTTACTATTATTAAGACAAGAGGAAGAGTTTGAAATTATTACAATAATTTAAAGAAGGGGAATTCGAACCAGCAAAGCATGGGTAAAAATCCAATAACCTAAGAAGGGGCAAAATTGATTGGATTTTTCGTTTCTTTACAAGAAGAATTTACATAAACGAATCCGAGTAGAAAAGTTAATTTATTTGTGAACTATATATGTAACATTTCGTCATTATATATATTGAGTAGCATAGCTAGAACCTCCTTCATGTTTGGCCTTGACTGTGGTGCCTCGGCCGTGCACTTTATGCCAACCTTAAGCAGCTCGCACATCTCCTCCGCCCCATCAACCAGCCCCGATCCCATAAGCATAACCGGCATCACAGACCGGTTGAATCCTTGCCGTCCATTTCCCATTACCCTTCTTGCCCATTCCACAAGGCACTCCTCTCCTCCATCCACCGCTCGCCTCCCGGTTGCCAACTCCATTGCCAGCACTCCGTAACTATACACATCTCCTTTTGTCGTGGCTTGCCATGTCTGCCCATATTCGGGCGCGACATAACCAACAGTCCCCGCCACTATTGTGCTCACATGAGTATTCCCTGCATCGACCATTCTAGCCAGCCCGAAATCTGTAACTCTCGCCTTTCCATCCTTGTCTAGCAGCACATTGCTCGCCTTCACATCGCGGTGCACGATGGCAGGGAAGCACTCGTGGTGTAGAAACACCAAGGCTCGAGCCACGTCAACTGCCACATCAACTCGCCTTCGCCATGTCAGTCTTACTCTATCAGTTATAAAATCCTCCAAGGTCCCGCCTTCCATGTACTCGTAGACTAGTATTTTTTCGGACCCATAGAGACACCAGCCGTGAAGAGTGACAAGGTTCGGGTGAGGCCAGCCAAAGCCACTCCCACTAAGAACCTCCATTTCAGCTCGGAACTCCTTTTCACCTTCGAGTCCTTCTCTTAGAAGCTTCTTCACCGCTACTACTCTCCCATCCGGCAATACTCCTTGGTACACTGTCCCAAACCCTCCCCTCCCTATAATCATATCTTCCGAAAAATTGCGTGTAGCTTTCAAAATGTCAGCATGTGTAAAAGCCATTTTGTCCAAACGAATGATCTTAACAGTATCCGACAACCACGGGGATGAACTGCTAGAGCTCGAGGCCAAGTCGTGCCGGTATTTGATGTCCTGCAACAAGTATCCTGGTGGCTGTGGCGGGCTCTTTCCGGATAGGCACGCTACAAGTGACAAAACTCCACATACCAAGACAGCAAATAGCAAAACCAAGACCAAAACATATGCAGCAAGCTTTTTAGGCTTTTTCGGATTCCTGTATGGTTTTTTAGCTGGATACGTGGAGTTGTCGATGAATATGGGAAGCTTCAGGAGGGGGTCACCGAGATAGGACTCTTTCTCGAACGTTGCCAACTGCCCGCTCGAAGGAATTACGCCGGAGATGAGCGGATTGTACGAAATGTTGAACTTACTTAGATCAGTCAAGCCGTTTAGGCTCAAAGGAAATGTGCCAGAAAAATTGTTGTATGACATATCAAGATTCTGCATGCACTTAATATTCCCAATCTCCTCCGGAATTTGACCCGAAAAATTGTTCGCACTGATGTTGAACACTACAAGTGGCAACTGACCGATATTTGCAGGGAGTTCGCCTTGGAATCTGTTGACACCCAAATGTATCATGCTAAAATTGCGCAATGTTCCGATATCTGGTGGGAGATGACCCGAAAGCTGATTCCCACTCAGTTGAATGTAACCCGAGATTT